AAAAAAAAAAAGAAAGAAGCACGGATAATAAAATGGACGCGCACACAAAAACAGACACCTACACACTCATTAACTTGCATTCACTCACTCCTCACTCACTCACACACACACAATACACACATACATGCATACATACATACATACATACATGCATACATACATACATACATACATACATACATACATACATACATACATACATACATACATACATACATACATACATACATACATACATACATACATACATACATACATACATACATACATACATACATACATACATACATACATACATACATACATACATACATACATACATACATACATACATACATACATACATACATACATACATACATACATACATACATACATACATACATACATACATACATACATACATACATACATACATACATACATACATACATACATACATACATACATACATACATACATACATACATACATACATACATACATACATACATACATACATACATACATACGCACGTACATACATACATACATACGTGTACGTACGTGTACGTACGTACGTACGTACGTACATACAGACACAGACACAGACGCAGACAGACACAGACACAGACACAGACACAGATACATACATACACACACACATACACACACACATACACACACACACACACACACACACACACGTACACACGTACACACGTACGTACGTACATACACACATACATACATACATACATACATACATACATACATACATACATACATACATACATACATACATACATACATACATACATACATACATACATACATACATACATACATACATACATACATACATACATACATACATACATACATACATACATACATACATACATACATACATACATACATACATACATACATACATACATACATACATACATACATACATGAAACGTATATTATGCGTGTTTATGTATTAGTGTTTGTATGTATGAGTATGTATTATGTTAGGGACTGTAGGGATTAGGCGAAGGGACCGGAGAACTTAACGTGAATGGACTCGAAGGGACTGGAGAACATGTAAAGGGACTCGAGAACTTATGTGAATGGACCGGAGAACTTATGTGAATGGACTCGAGAACGTATGTGAAGGGACTGGAGAACTTATGTAAAGGGACTCGAGAACTTATGTGAATTGACCGGAGAACTTATGTGAATGGACTCGAGAACGTATGTGAAGAGACTGGGGGAGGTATGTGACATACAGAACTTACATGAAGGGAACGGCGAACTTATGTGAAAGGACTGAAGAGCTACATGTGGAGGGACTGGACAAGTCTTAAATACATGGAAAAGGGTACATACTTTACTATATTCTACAGCATACATAATAAATCATTGAAAAGGATATGTTATTTATATTCTACAGCATACAACATAAATCTTTACATAAGGATATGTTATTTATTCATACATACAGCACACAAATACATCTTTAAAAAGGATATTTATTTATTTCTTTATGTATGAGTGTTTCTTTGTAAAGGATATGTATTTATTCTCTACAGCATACAAATAAACGCTTTAAACGGGAGAACTTACGTGAATGGACTTGAAGGGACTGGAGAACATGTAAAGGGACTCGAGAACTTATGTGAATGGACCGGAGAACTTATGTGAATGGACTCGAGAACGTATGTGAAGGGACTGGACAACTTATGTAAAGGGACTCGAGAACTTATGTGAATGGACCGGAGAACTTATGTGAATGGACTCGAGAACGTATGTGAAGAGACTGGGGGACGTATGTGAAGGGACTGGAGGAGGTATGTGAAGGGACTGGAGAACTTATGTGAAGGGAACGGAGAACTTATGTGAAAGGACTGAAGAGCTTATGTGGAGGGACTGGACAAGTCTTAAAGGCGTGGAAAAGGGTCCTTTACTTTACTATATTCTACAGCATACAAATAAATCTTTAAAAAGGATATGTTATTTATTCTCTACAGCACACAAATAAATCTTTGAAAAGGATATGTTATTTATTCTCTACAGCATACAAATAAATCTTTAAAAAGGATATGTTATTTATTCTCTACAGCAAACAAATAAATCTTAAAAAAGGATATGTTATTTATTCTCTACAGCATACAAATAAATCTTTAAAAAAAAAAAAATTCATAAAAGCTGACATGACACATTCTTTTTTCAGTGTCAGTATATATTTTATTTCTCTGTATATACCTTCTCCCAAACCACACAATGGTGTCAAACTTCCGTTCCAAACTTATGGCGATACAAGATTAGGGTCGTGAGCATAATAAATCTGCCTTGACCTTAAATTATTTATGCAGATAGATAGCACACTGTACAGCTTCTAACCTTGTCTCTAGCTGGCTCTGTATTTGGTATGTTTACACACTTTTACCGAAGAATTTACTGTCATTGTGTCGCCATGACTTCAAGTGGGGCATTCTAGGCCAAACCGTATCGAAAGTCACTAAAATAGTAATTTCAAAATTGTAAAGGTCCCTTTTCCACGCCTTTCGGCCTATTGGATATATAATGGTTGGCTTATATTTTATAGACCAGTCGGCACTCGTTGTGTGATGTGATCAATATTTCTCCGACCGATTTTACTTCCCAGGACTATACATGATACCAGTTTGAGGCAAAGTCGACATGAAGCCAAGGATTTTTTTTTTAAGAAAAAAAATATCTGCCTTGGTTCGGATTTAAACCCACGACCTTAGGATTCACAGACGAGCGTCTAACTGCTATACCGCGTCGGCTACCAAAGTCGTTTTCCGTTGCCTTGCTTTGCTCGAAAAAAGAGATCGCCACGTTTAACTAGCATCCCAAAGGGTGAGCTTGGGGTTATAATTGTGACTAGGTTATGTGCGCCATACAAAACAGCTTATCATTGCAGGCTAGTGAGAGTCTATGAGAAGAGACTCCTGCTGTATGGATGCGATCAACAGAGGCAGACCCAAAACTCTCCCAACCGGTGACGAAGTCGTCTACCAAAGTCACCAAACCTGGCTCATAAACAACGAAACAGGTGCCGTCTCCACAATAAAGGCTGGCTTCAATACACCTTCAACACTAGTATCTCTCGGCCTGGTTGTCCACTGTAGTGAATCTCATTGAGATGTATCGATTGCAAATTATAGACGTAAATAGAGGGGGAGGGGGTGAGTTGTCTGGAGGCATGGCGTCCGTCGCGAGTGCTAGAGGTCCCAGGCTGGGAATTTTTTTTACGTGAACTTCTAGTAATTTCCCCTGGTCTCTGGGTAGTAAGATTGGATGCCCGTGTGTATTGTTGCATACGTAAAAAATCCCTTAATAGTTGGAAATAGAAAAAAAGTAGCCTAACGCGCTGCCCTGGCAAAAAATATGGAGTATTTCAGGATCCTTGTTCGTGTTACGGAGCTCGTGCACTGCGCTGAGATTACTTCGGAGTCAGGCTTGAGTTAGAAGTAGTCGGAGCACTTATGGGTTACTACTCGTATGCCATGATGTTGATTCGTTGTTCAAACAGACGTAAATGAAACAGTTAGAACAGCAGTATGCGTTTGTAAATGTAAAACAAAAAAACCCTTTCCCCCTCCATCAGGCGTATTGGGTATATAGGGCAAGTCCTATATTTTGAAAACCAATCCAAACTTGGTATGTAATGTGGCCATTACCGCTTCCATTTCCCATAACTTTACCTGGAAAATGTTTACGGCTGGAACGAGCTGGAAGCAAAGGTTGAAAAAACAAAAGTCCGGCTCCAACAGGTCTTGAACTCACGGACCCACAGGCGAACGTCTAGCTGTTGCATCTCGGTGACACCCGGGGACATGCTAGAAAACTTAACAATCCAAAGCTACAGTAAAAAAAAGCGTTTAAATTCACAAAGCGGAACATTTGGCGGAGGGTAAAGTCTTGGCCAGTGTAGGTTGTGTCACACAATTTAATTCCTTCTCTTTTACTTCTTAACTTCTTCTATTCATTTTTATCGTCTCTGTCTTATCATATCTTTACCTTCACAGGCTTTCATATTTTTACAGGGCTCATAGTGGTCAAGATTTATCTACGGCTCTTCGCGAACATTTGAGAAACAGGTTCACTGCAGGTTCACCACAGGTTTACTACAGGTTCACTGCAGGTTTATTACAGATTCACTGCAGGTTCAGTACATGTTCACTACAATTCAATACAGGTTCACTGCAGGTTCACTACAGGTTAACTGGAGGTTAACTACTAGGGGCCTGGCCAACGTTGGTAGGATAGACGTTTCCTTCAAAGTTGGAGTGCGTCTGTTTGAGAGGCAAGGAACCAACAGTTTGCACACCACAAATAAAACAGATCTGAAAAACGGACACGCATGCAACGCCGAGGTCCTGGAACTAGGCAAAAAACTAAAAGCGGTTAACAACCGGAATCTTCCACCGGAGTCAACAGCAGATCAGTGTCACGAAGAAGAAGACAAAGAAGAAGAAGAAGAAGAAGAAGAAGAAGAAGAAGAAGAAGAAGAAGAAGAAGAAGAAGAAGAAGAAGAAGAAGAAGAAGAAGAAGAAGAAGAAGAAGAAGAAGAAGAAGAAGAAGAAGAAGAAGAAGAAGAAGAAGAAGAAGAAGAAGAAGAAGAAGAAGAAGAAGAAGAAGAAGAAGAAGAAGAAGAAGAAGAAGAAGAAGAAGAAGAAGAAGAAGAAGAAGAAGAAGAAGAAGAAGAAGAAGAAGAAGAAGAAAGCACAAGTGTACTTGTACAGATGCCTGAGTATGTGAGCCTGAGGATTAAGGGCCTCAAGGCTGGCAGGTGCTGTGACCACGGACCGGTTATGATTTCAGTTATACCCATGACAGAAAAAAAAAAACAGCCTAACTTCACCAATGATTTAAATCCGGTCTCCACCTTGAGAGCCAGGGCGCTAACCGTTCAGCCGGCCGCTCCTCAAGCACAAGTGTAACCCTGTCTAAATTATTTTTTGCTTTTCTCTCACCCCCCCCCCCCCTCTCCACTACCACAGAGCTGGGATGATGGTCTAGCCAGGCAAGCAGGAGAATACGCAGAGAGGTGTCGTTACCAGTATCCAAACGTGGAGGAGTTTGATGTGGGTTCAAACCTCTACTACCAGCTAGACTTTGTGCACGGCGAGAAACCAGTTCACCGTCTTGTGAGTACTGCCTTAAAATCATGGACCAGGTCGAAGGATTACTTCGTCTATGGTCCGCATTGTGAAAGGGCGTGTCCATTTGTTCAGGTAAGGACATCTTGTTTTAGATTTTGTTTAAATGATTATTAAATGTATGTAATGGACTTACAAAGGCTCGTGAGACTTGTTCTTTAAGAGTAGCATGCATTGCCTCTGTTGTCGCAGGCTGTGAAAATCCTTTGTATATTTTATGGAGGGATGATGGGATGTTTGGAAAACGAAAGGACAGACTAACTGGTACTGCACACTGTGTTGGGAATCAACGGAAAAGACATGTCACGTGTCATAAAAGCATTCTCAATGCAGACAAGTCAGAGTTATGCTCAAAACAGCTGAAGGAGCAGCTACTGGCAAGGCAGCCATGAATATATTCCCCCAGAAGGACAGTGAGATCCATATTCCTATGCAAATATTAAAAGGAAGTCCAAAACCATTTCAACGATCACCTGGCGGATACTAGCAAAGAAGCAAGGAGTCCTGCAGATAGGAAATGTTCACAATGCCGGAGCTGTTAGCTGGATTTGGAGAACTGTAACAGAGAAAAGGTACCAGGGGTCATAAAATAAATTTGTTCCTTCTCTTGGATCTGTTACCAAGACATTTTCCTCTTCATTTGTACAACCAGAGCTGGCAGAAAGATGTGGTGCCATCGGCTTGGGAGGAAGCCTTTATCCAGTAGATTATTTAAAGGAAGCGAGTCAGAAAAGACCGAAACAGCTATAGACCCATTGGCTTTCATAGTTTTGTTAAAAAACGGATAAAGAAAACTGTTAATAACAGGTGGTTAACGAAAAGATGTAGTTTCTGAAAACCAACTCAGCAATGACCATCATATAGATGGGATGCAGTCGCCATAGAAACCCTGAAAACAAGTTAACACACCTGGCATAGGACACGAAGAATGCCTTCTGGGTAATCAAAACAATTATCACTTCCCTCTTCGATGTCTGGTAATTAGTCAGGAAGGAAGATCTACAGCTAAATCTGCTAAAATTGTACACAACAAGTACAAATAGATCAAAGATTGTCTTCCCTAAAGTAGAGACAGTTTAGAATTGACGGACAGCTCAGCAAACACTAAGAGAAGGAGCTCCTTGTGGTAGTGCTGTAGAACCAACCTTGTTCCTGGTCTACTTCAACCATCAAATCTCTTTATTAAATGTTTCTTGTATTCTAGACAAAACATTACGGTCTGTAGTGTTTGTAAATTGTTGCTGTGTTTGCTGTCTTTCTACTTCTTTCTATGGGTGTAGATCAGTACATTTTCTGTTTGTTTATTATATATATACACACACGACAACACAACGTTGCGTCTTCAAAACAACATGCTGATAAATGTGCAGTTGGACAGCCACAAAATACACCACCACAGCATCCTTCTGTTAAAGACAACTCTGGAACATTTGAAAGCCGGCACTGAAAAGTGGGGTCTAAAGTTAAATCATTCAACAACAATAACAACAACAACAACAACAACAACAACAACAACAACAACAACAACAACAACAACAACAACAACAACAACAACAACAACAACAAAAAGCAGCCATCACAAAGTACCTATACGGGTTGTTCCCATGAGAAGCTGGTTACAGCGACTCCTATCATGACCTCGAAAGACGATCCGACATGCTTCACCAGACTTCCCTCCGAGATCATGTAATTATGTTAGCTTCAGAGAATTATCAGCCATTCTATCTAATTCGTAGAGCGACCATGATACTTGCTCCGTACGTGCATCTACATGTATCCAGTGGCGCATATGAGATTTCTCACAGCAAAACACCTGGTAGACAAGCGATGGGAAGATGGGATGGATACATTGCAAGAAATATAATCAAATCCATCACCCCAGCCATCAGAGACACATACAATTGCGTCGAAAAAGACGAAAAAGAAGTGGCGCAATACTTGCCAGTTGGTCCGCGCATTTCCTACCCTTTACACCGGTGTGCTCAAGTGTATGCCGCCACATGTGAGTATGGGGTAACTTCATATAGAGGGGTTACTTTCTTTTGCTGCGTTTATTATTATACTCTAATATTAGGGTGACCATAATATCTGGAGCCGTAAATGGGTATCGCACTAATATTTTGAGTTAAAAACGGGACACCTCAAGCATGTAAGTTTAACCCTACTGCCATTATACTTTGTGACCGGGTGAAAGGGTTGATTATCGCTAGACAATGATGTTAAAAAACCCGAGCCATTGTCGCCAATAAATAAACGAAACAATAGGATCTTCTACTGCACAGGGAAGAACAGGAACAAAAAACCCTGTGATAGATAATTCACGTTAACACATTTCAACCATTAAAATAACCCCAACTATGGGATAAGGTCTGCAGATATAACTGTAAATGCATGTCCTGTTGTCCAGCAAATTGCTATGATTTTTAATAGGGCTGTACCGAATAGTGATTTTCACTATTCGGCCGAATACGAATAGTGGGACCAACTATTCGGTCGAATACGAATAGTGTATCATCATCATCAGGTGCCTTGTCGACTGGCGTGGGTGATCATGTCTCTCCACAATCTGCTTTCTCCTGCAGCATGTATTAGTTCGTGTGCTGACACACCTCCATGCCATGCAACAAGACTATTAAGAATCTTTTATCATTGACTTCCTCTATCCCTCCTTCCACAGATCTTTCCAGTGGTCACCAACAGTTAAATTTTCCCTCTTCTCATAACATGGCTGAAAAATGACGACTGTTTCCTTCTGATGTATGTGATTAGTTGTCTTCGGGCTCCTGCCTCTTTCAAAACCATCGTTCGCTCGGCCGCTCGTTCGATATAATTTAAACTCACCTTCATATTCTCGTTAGCAATATCTTCAAATTTGATTTGGGCGAAGACACCCTGAAAGAACGAAAAATGCATGATCTCATTCTCTCTCCCTCTCTCTCTCTCTCTCACACACACACAGTACACACTCTCTCTCACACACACTGCGGTTGGCATTTTATGCAGTTTGTACTACTCAACCAGGTCGCAGTTTCCCCGCTATGACAGACTTAGGCAACAGCAACTATTGTGTTAATAAGAGAGTTATTTCAGTCCATCACAGTGTATGCAGAAACGGGAGTAAGGTAAGCACTATTCGTATTCGGCCCGACCGCAACTATTCGGCCGAATACCGAATAGTTATTAGGCCCACTATTCGGCCCCGAAGCGAATACGAAGCGAATATTCTGTACAGCTCTAATTTTTAATAAAACATGAAAAGTTGCGTCTTTCTGGAGTTATAAACGGGACTAACCCGTTGAATACAGGACGTATGGTCACGGTGTCTAATATTCACTTGACCAGACCAAGCAACATATGGCAGGCAATAAATTGGACAGTCTGTTATGTGTCTTCTGTGTTTGATTTCACGAAAGGAAAATATGGCTAGAATAACATATATGTATGTTCATATGAATAGATGATCTTCGCACAGACAGACAAGATTGGCTGTGCTCTCAGTACGTGTAACGACTTGGACAACGGGGAGAAGAAGGAAGAATTTGCCTCAATATTCATCTGCTTCTATTCGCCTAGGTAAAAATGTTCGTTCTCTCTCTCTCTCTCTCTCTCTCTCTCTCTCTCTCTCTCTCTCTCTCTCTCTCTCTCTTTCATACACAGACACACACACACAAACTGAGCTTCTGTAAATAAAAATATACAGAAATAAATGTCGCACGCACACACACACACAACACACACACACACAGACACACAGACACACAGACACACACACACTCACGTGCCCCAGGTTAAATTTAGAATTGATGATGCCTTCCTCATTTATTTTTACCCCTCCTCTTCCCTCGATTGTGGAGTCGCCGTAATGTAGTAGCTAGACGCTCGCCTGCAGATTTAAAGGTCGTGGGTTCAAATCCGAATGCAGCTGGACTTTTATTTCAAAATGTGTCCTTGGCTCCCAGGCTGACCCAGCCTTAAATGAGTACCAGGCGAAGTACTGGGATGTAAAGGTGGCCGATGTGATACTGACCACGTCACCCAATAAGTGCTGATTGGATGACAGAATATAGGTCTAGCTAATAGACTGAAATGATTGGGGCATATTGACAGAATGTCAGATGATAGAGAAGTAAAAACTGTTACACAAGGGAGATAAATGGTCGTAGAACCACGAGGCAGACCAAGAAGACGATGAAGAGATAATGTCCAGACAGATCTGCACACGCTTGGTGTCACCAACTAAAATTAGAAATCCAAACAGAGAATTGAATAGAGGCGGGTGATATCTGCTGCAAGGGCTCAGAATGCAGAAAAAGGATAAGAAGAAGAAGAAGAAGAAGAAGAAGAAGAAGAAGAAGAAGAAGAAGAAGAAGAAGAAGAAGAAGAAGAAGAAGAAGAAGAAGAAGAAAAAGAAGAAGAAGAAAAAGAAGAAGAAGAAAAAGAAGAAGAAGAAGAAAAAGAAGAAGAAGAAAAAGAAGTAGAAGAAAAAGAAGAAGAAGAAAAAGAAGAAGAAGAAGATAAGGAAGAAGAAGAAGAAGAAGAAGAAGAAGAAGAAGGAGAAGAAGAAGAAGAAGAAGAAGAAGAAGAAGAAGAAGAAGAAGAAGAAGAGAAGAAGAAGAAGAAGAAGAAGAAGAAGAAGAAGAAGAAGAAGAAGAGAAAGAAGAAGAAAAAGAAGAAGAAAAAGAAGAAGAAGAAGAAGAAGAAGAAGAAGAAGAAGAAAAAAGAAGAAGAAGAAAAAGAAGAAGAAGAAGAAGAAGAAGAAGAAGAAGAAGAAGAGGAAGGTCTTGGTAATTAGTCAAACTGTACACACGAATACTTTGGGGTTTCGCCAATCAATCGACAGTTTTGTTTTACATCTGGGTCATCGATAGTTTATACGAGTACAGGCTTTTCCGTCAGGTAATGACAATAAGGGTTTCTTTCTCTCTTTGTTTCTTTTTTTTTTTTTTTTTATAAACACTATTAAAGTGAAAGATAGATAGATATTTAGAGAGAGGGAGAGCGAGCGAGAGAGAGAGAGAGAGCGAGAGAGAGAGAGAGAGAGAGAGAGAGAGAGAGTATTCGAAAGTGATTAAGACAAAGAGAGACACATAAAGAGATTTAGGCAATGAATTAAACAAACATACAGACACAGAGGAAGAGAGTGAGAGCAAGAGAGAGAGAGAGAGAGAGAGAGAGAGAGAGAGAGAGAGAGAGAGAGAGAGAGAGAGAGAGAGAGAGAGAGAGAGAGTTCTTTGCTGGCTTTGACTGATAACTACTATATTTGTTGGAATTACAAGTGAAATAACTGACGAATTTCTTCTAACAGACAATCTTTACTGAATGCCTTCCCCTACAAGAACGGTTACGTTTGTTCAGAATGTCCAGATGGATCAATATGTCGAGATGGACTGTGTTCACAAATAGGTCAGTATTTAAGTATTTTGTACGTGTAAACAGGTATGGGATTCGCAGCCCCATTGTGGGAAAAGAAGAATAGACCTACCCACAAGCATGTCGTAAAAGTTGACTAATGGAGAGCTGCCTTCAAAGTTAGAGTGCATGTAATGGGAGGCGAGGAATTAGTCTGCATGCAAATCAGTCACACCCGTGAAACAGACGTACACTTAACACCCAGTTTCTGGATCAGGACTAGAGTCTAGAAGTGGACGAACAATTGGAACTTTGCGCCAGAGATTACAGCTTATGAAAGCGAAGAACTATATGTAAATTTATACTAACGGACCCTTCTTCACTATCTTAAGCTTGTTTGGTATCAAGGCCTAGACCGATACTGTATGAATCAGTCGGCATTATGTGGGTGATGTGGTCAACATAACACCAGCCGCATTGCTTGTCATGAAGATCTGGTATATACATGAAATACGGCTTCTATAGCTTAGCCATTATGAACGCGCTTCGTAATAGCAGGGTGCCCGGTTCGATCCCAGCTGCGGAACTCGCTTGTGTTGGTTTCGACATTGGTACCAAGAGCTGACCTTTAAGAAGGCAATGGCAAACTGCTGAACGTAAAATTTGCCTAGGAAAACCAAAAACAGCTAGAAAAGTCTGTGGGTTTGTTCCGCCACGTCCTGTAAAGGATACGCAACTAACTTTAAATATAGTTCAACCCAGGCAAGAAAAATATAGGGAATGATACAAGTCAACGGATAAAGTAAAGAGATGAAATTAGAATGAGAATTAGTGTTAGCGTTTCATTATAGGTAACCTTCATGGTGAAGACGACACCTAACTGATCGATTGTTAATGTTAAATATCGCCCCCATTGTCTCCAAATGTAATCCTCTATCTTTTGTCGAGGTTCTTGACACCATCATCATCATGTAGCAGGTCCTTTACAGAACGTCGCTCCTATGACAGCTTGCCTGAAAGAATTGCAAAGCCTTGCTAGTTAACCGGTTTGATGTACTTTCCCGCTCAAAGCGTTTTTTATGTGCCCGTGATCATCTTCGTGCTGGTTGATCTCTGCCCCGCCTGCCCAGTGCCACAAGCCCTGCTACTGTCTCTTCCAATCCGGTAATTTAGTAATCTTAGTTTCAGCTTCATAGCAAACGGGTCACCCCATAGTTGCTCCGCTCCTGTGCCAACGAAAAATACACAGAATGTTTAGTTTATCACAGTCCCTTGTCTCAGCATATGCACTAGCATCAACACGCATTAAAAGCAAACGGTAGCCATCCGAAGTGCTAACACAAACAGTCCAACATTAGAAATGCAGTTCATCATGAATCGATAGAAGTCACCAACAGATCAGCAGTTACACGCGCGATCAATTTTAATCACATAATGGCACCACCAATATTGCGACAAAAGGCTTCGCGCCATTTTCGGAAACAACAATTCACACCACTACGTTGGTCACAGTCGAAAAACATTCTAAATGAAATACGCAGCTCACAGTGTCACACCATACACTTAACTCAGAAGCTGGGCGACGGAACTATATCCTTTCAGTCTACAAATGGAGCAAAAATGCAACAGCCACTGTCTGGCAGAAGCAAAAAATTTGCCACGGCTCAGTGACCGTGCCTAGCGTCCATTTTTACCGGAAGTCCCCCTAACTGTCCATGTTGGATCTTTTAAAATGTCAATATTTATTTTGAGAATAAATCAGGCAAATAGTAATGTGGTTTCTCTTAATGGCACCCCACTCCAAGACGTGGAGTCGTACACCTATTTAGGCAGTAATGTAGATAAAGATGGAGGAACTGATAGAGATATTAAAATAAGAATACAAAAGGCAAGAGGGGCTTTTATAGCACTAGGGAATTTGTGGAGGTCAAAAGAAATTAAAAGAAATACTAAACTAAAATTTTTTAATTCTAATGTCAAATCAGTACTATTATATGGGGCGGAAACATGGAGAACAAACCAGGGCAATTACTAATAAATTACAGACATTCATTAACTGGTGCCTGCGCAGAATAGAGGGAATAAAATGGTATGATAGAATAACTAATGTAGAACTTTGGGAGAGAACTAAACAGGCTCCAGTGGATCAGGAAGTGAGGAAAAGACGCTGGCGTTGGATAGGGCACACACTGAGAAAACAGGAGAACAGCATAACTAGAATGTCTTTGCATTGGAACCCACAGGGGCATAGGAATAAAGGAAGGCCAAAAAACACATGGAGAAGAGAGCTGGAGAACGAGGTTAGAAAGATTGGGAGGACATGGGGAGAGCTCCATGTAATGGCGAAGGATAGAACGACTTGGCGTGAGTTGGTTGAGGGCCTATGCTCCATTGGGGGATAGAAAGGCAGAAGAAGAAGAAGAAGAATATTTATTTTCTTTCTTGTTCGGGGTATTCTGCAAATATTTCTACAGAAAGTCAGCTCACAGTTGCCCACTTTCTATCTTAGTGATTGTGAGACTGTCCACGACTCACGTCAGACGAGCTTAAGATTATGCCCATCAAACATCCTTAGACCTCTAAAGCAAAGTTGGTCATCAACTCTTATTGTGTTATGTAACCTTGGGCGGCGGGTTCAACATCTACTCATTTTGCTTATATGTACTAACTAATTCGCTAGCTAAACAAACGAGGTATCTTATTAAAAGATTTCAACGTTAAAAAAAAATGTCTGTGTTTTTGTTGATAAAATTTTCGGTCTGCCAGATCTGTGTATCAAATAACGGCCTTCGTGTCTACAGGTAGTCCCAGCTATGAAGCTTTACCCGCTTACATACAAGACTCGCCATCTGAGAGAATGCAAGCCCAACAAGCACAGATTGGTGGAAGTGATTCTGGTAACTTAACACATTACATATCACACACATTGTTTTTCATAACACAAATATATACGCAATGTATACATAACTAATATATATATATATATATATATATATATATATATATATATATATATATATATATATATATATATATATATATATATATATATATATATATATATATATATATAAAGGTAAAGTCGGGAGATGTGAACCACCGTCATTGTACACGGTTATAAACCATAAGTGCTCTAACACCACCACGGACAGCTGATAAGAAACTGTCCGCCTGTGTCGCCGTCCGCACGCAGCTCCGTAGCAACAGCGACGTTCCTCCATTTACCCAAAGTGTTAACTCTAGTACCCATTTTACAGAGGTTTGGTGATGTCAGGGAACCACCCCGTTTTGAACACCAGCCGTGGGCTGCAGCGTGTTGCAGCTGGATTTGAAAGCGAGTCTCCCATCGACTGCTCTAACACGACTCATATGTATATATGTGTGTGTGTTTGTGTAAGTGGTAATATATATATATATATATATATATATATATATATATATATATATATATATATATATATATATATATCCGCTTTAGTGATCGTCTGCATTTGTTTAAAAAGCGCTTATAATCAGTCCCATACCATTCTTGTTATCTCTTCGTCTATTTGCATGTCTGAGTGTTTTGCCACGCCTTTGTCTCAGTCTATCTTTCCTTGCATCCATATATCTTTGAAATGACTTAGCCATCAATCCAACCTCTCATCTGTCCTTCTATCATGCTGATCTGTATTTCTGTCTGACGGTCGCCTGTCTTCATATCTTTCCTTCTTCTTCAACACAACGAATATCCTGTACAAATTTAAGTTTGGTTGATCATTCCTTAAAAAAAATGCACAGTATTCTAGAATATCCATCGATACTAGAAGGATTAAAAAAAAAGACGAAGTGGAGAAGAAGAAGAAAAGACGAAGAAGAAGAAGAAGAAGAAGAAGAAGAAGAAGAAGAAGAAGAAGAAGAAGAAGAAGAAGAAGAAGAAGAAGAAGAAGAAGAAGAAGAAGAAGAAGAAGAGAAGAAGAAGAAGAAGAAGAAGAAGAAGAAGAAGAAGAAGAAGAAGAAAAAGAAGAAGAAAAAGTAGAAAAAGAAGAAGAATAAGAAGGGAGGAGGGAAACACACACACACACACATATACACCCATTGACTTGTCACAGCGAGTTGCTATCAGCATAACTGCATTTGTCCTAGACACAACAAGAAAAAACATGTGTTTTTTTCACCCACAATCGATTTATTTTTGTCATATTTCCACATGAATAGCTTCATGAATATTTTCAATTTTTGTTCTTTTCATCAGATGCACTGACAGAAACTGACCAACATTATATTACGGCTACTCACAATCGTGTGAGAGAGTCTAACAACAGAGATCCTATTGTAAGTAACACATACACTGGAAATTGAAAAAAAAAAAAAAAATGCAAACAATGCTGTACAAGCAGGTCTGCTCAAAACGTGTCCGGTCCATGGTTGGCAAAATATAATTACCAGGGAATTTTTTTTTTTTTTTTTTTCTGGAGTAAAATGTGCCGTTACACACCACAAAATGTATAATACATAGCACTGAAAAAGTGATGTCTCAGTGCCAGATATTGTTAAAGAGGTCGGACCAAACATCGATACTCATCACACAAAGTGCGTTGCCAGGGACGCAGAGAGTTAAATTAGCATATTTTCTCAACACACCTGGAAAACACACACACAACACACAATGTCTTTTATTGAAGTTCACTTACTTACTATTAAGATTATTTTTACTGTAAACTTGTGGACTCTTGACACAAACAGGCAAGCAGTTCTTGTTGCAGACGATCCCTCATGTGAACACCCAGGACTGATGTCTGTCCAACTATGTTATCCCTTAAGCCCTACCGCAAATATTATTTTATTTCTGGCGTCAACTTACTTTACAAGAAAGGTGATTTGTTTTTCCTTCTCCTAAATATCCCAAGCTAACTTTAATGTAAAAAAAGATATGTTGTGTAGAATACTGCTAGCTCTTTGAATTACGTGAAAGATTATATTACTGTTGACCTTGATGACAAATTAATTTTCCTCTCTACATGTAATTCTTCTTTCCCGACAAGTTAGTTTGACCACAATTATCGCTTAAACTCAAATAAAAATTAATTAGCTATCTAGAGTAAAAATCTGGCTCCTTTCTAAAAAAATTTCTAGGTTGCTTAAAGCTAAATGGCTCTTTTATTTATTCATTATTAAAAGAAAGACACACACACACGCACACACTCTCTCTCTCTTCTCTCACTCACTCTTTTTCTCTCTCAAATTAAAGATTAAAACAAAAACTGTTTTAATGATGGTTTTAAAACGACATCCTCTGTTTATGAGAAATTAAATAATTTTGCACCCCCTCCCCCTTTTCCCACCCTTTTTTAAACAAACGTTTCAAAAATGGAGTATTTTTTTTTTTTTTAAAATGCAGTTAAAATAGGTGACTTTTAATTTAAAAAAAAAATGCAAAAGACTGCTAATAGCTGCATTTATTATATCTCTTTTAGGGGATTAGGCAGAAAGAGGGGGGGGGGGTGGGTTAGAAAGGGAAATGGGGGTCTTTGAGCCTGTGGATTTACGGCCGCATGGCCAGTGCTGTCGCCACGACTGTGCTGGTGAAGATTTTATGTTGGTCCCGACAGAAACAAATCCCTTGTCTTACAGAGGATTCAAACCCGGGTCTCCCGCTTGAGAGCCGAGCGTGCTAACCGTTCGGCCAACCGCTCTTCTTTTTTATTATAAATAATGTCGATAAATGTAGTGTTTATTAAACACAAAGTATTTACGCAAATGTAACTATGATGAATATAGTATTCCAGAAGAATAAAGTAAATATATTTCTTTCTCTGTGAAACTTTTTCTTCTAGTCTTCTTTTTTTTTCTTCTCTTTTTCCTGCTTTTTCTCAAATTCCACACAATCCTGATTTTCTTTCTCTTATTACTCACTGTCCTGATGTTTTTTTCTAATATTGCTCATTATCCTGATCTTCTTTATTACATTGCTTATAATTCTGATCTTCTTTCTTCTCTTTCTCATTATCCTGACCATCTCTGTAATATTGATCATTTTCCTGATCTTCTTTATCCCATGGCTTGTTATTCTGATTTTCTTTCTCCTCTTTCTCATTATCCTGACCATCTCTATAACATTGCTCATTTTCCTGATCTTCTTTATCCCATGGCTTGTTATTCTGATTTTCTTTCTCCTCTTTCTCATTATCCTGACCATCTCTGTAATATTGCTCATTTTCCTGATCTTCTTTATCCCATTGCTTATTATTCTGATCTTCTGTCTCCTCTTTCTCATTATCCTGACCATCTCTGTAATATTGCTCATTATCCTGATCTTCTCTATAATATTGCTCATTTTCCTGATCTTCTTTCTCCCATCGCTCAATATCCTGATGTTTTCAAAAAAATATACCTCATTATCCTGATCTTCTTTCTCCTATTGCTCATTATCTCCATCTTTGTTTCTCTCCTATTTCTCATTATTCATATCTTCTTCTCTTCCTCATTAATCGGATCTTCTTTCTTCTTTCTCATAATTCTGATCTGCTTTCTCATATTCCTCATCCTGATCTTCTTTCTCCTATTTTTCATTATCCTAATCTTCTTTCTCCTCTTCCTCATTATCCTGATCTTCTTTCTAATATTGACCATCATCCTCATTTTCTTTCTCCTCTTCCTAATCCCCATCTTCTTTCTCTAGTTTTCCGCATTATTCATAATCTTCCTTCTACCATTGCTCATTATCCCGAGCTTCTTTCTCAAATTCCTGATTATGCTCATCCTCTTCAATAACCCCCCCGCCCTCCCCGATTAAAAAAATGTGGCAGCACTGCACAGTGTCTAATAAAAGGTGCCGGTGCGCACCACAAAGTGTAAATTTCAGTTGTGCAGAAAAATTTAATGATGCCTACAATGGTGTCAGACGCTCGCCTGCGGATCGGAAGGTCGTGGGTTCGGATCCTGACAGGGTCTGGACTTTTTTCACAGGTCGAACCCAGCCTTAAGTGGGTACCAGGTACAGTCCTGGGAGGCAAAGGCAGCGGGCGTGATGCTGACAACATCACTCACTCTGTGCAGATTGGTCTATGAAAATATAGGTCAAGCCCTTTATACCCAATACGCCTATAAGGCGTGGAAAAGGACCCTTTATGTTTTGCTTTACAATATAAATATAGGGTTTTATAACATCGACTACAGGAATGGGATCCCTTCTTGCAAAAGTGGGCAGAGTACGTCATCAACTGCAAGGTAGACTACCCAGGGCCGGTGCATGCCTACAGCAACTTTCACAGACTAGACCAGGTTAGTTCCCTTTTTTTCTGCCGTGTATTTCTTTTTTCGCGTTCAGCCGGCTGTAAACTACTACTGGACTTCAGTCTCGTTCCAGATTATTCTAGAACCTAAGTGTTGCGTGCACATCAGTTTTATTATGCAGGCTTGCAGGCATGCATACATACATACATACATAAATAGATACGAAAATACATACGTACGCACATACATACGTACGCACATACATACATGCGCACATACATACATGCGCACATACATACATGCTCACATCCATCCATCCATCCATCCATCCATCCATCCATCCATCCATCCATCCATCCATCCACCCATCGATCCACCCCCCACCCCCACCCACCCCCACACACACACACACAGACAGACAGACAGACAGACAGACAGACAGACCAGACAGACAGACAGACAGACAGACAGACAGACAGACAGACCAGACAGACCAGACAGACCAGACAGACAGACAGACAGACCAGACAGACAGACCAGACAGACCAGACAGACAGACAGACAGACCAGACAGACCAGACAGACAGACAGACAGACAGACAGACAGACAGACAGACAGACAGACAGACAGACAGACAGACCATACAGACAGACAGACAGACCAGACAGACAGACAGACAGACAGACAGACCAGACAGACAGACAGACAGACAGACAGACAGACAGACAGACAGACCAGACAGACCAGACAGACCAGACAGACAGACAGACAGACAGACAGACAGACAGACAAAATCAGGAGCATGATGAAAGAGGTGATGGCAGTAACGCAAGCGTTCGCATGGCTCGAAACACAAAACGTCACCCGAGCATGTGTACTTAGTGATTCAATAAGTATGATCTGAAGGGTTTAAGTAGGTTCAGTGCCAAGGCAATGGCTTGCACCATTAGAGAAGTCCACTGTGCGTGGAGTCACCTTTATTTTCGTTCCGGGATACATCGGCGTCGATGGAAAAGAAAGAGCTGATAGGCTGTCTGGATCCGCCATTCCTACCGAGGGCCAACCTATGGATCATGCTGATATTATGAATGTCCTCTGAGAAATGAAAAGGATAGAGGGCTTTGAGGGCTGTGAATCCACATCACTCGCCAGAATGGCAGACTTAAAAGTAAAAATCAGCATAGAGGGAAAACAAAAACAACCTAAGACGTACACTGGGCACATCAGAGGACTTGTTAATCAACATAGAACTGGTACAATTTTCTGCCGCAGGCCTGGGGTTCAAAGTGTGGGGAGGATCTTAGCACTTATGTACCGTCGGGAGTGTAATGATGATGTCATTAATATGTTATAATATATATACATACATATAATTGAATGTTCTTGTCCAGGGTGCTCGTGTGTATACTGTAGTGTATGACTGGTCGATTGAGGGCAACAACACAAACGTAGAGCTGGATCATGGCTGCCGGACTCCCAAGGACAGAACCAGGTGCAACCATTACACGAATGTAAGTACAGAGAGCTAACAGTCAAGTCCATGTATGAAAAATGCTGCCAAGTGTGTTGACTAAGCGACTAAGCAGTGTCAGTTGCAGTAAAGAGAGAGGCTTGGACCGGTATTCAACTACCTGATGAGGCTTGTTGGTAAAAAAAAAAAAAAAGGGAGAGGGGGGGGGGGGGGAGCTGATGGTGTGCACGATTATAAGTACTCCCATGCTAATGTACTCTAGTGCTGATAGAAGATTGTTAAGGCGGTGGGAGCTGTTGTGTTCGAGAAAATGAACTTCCCTCCCCTTGAACTCTGATGCTAATGCAAGATTGATGAAGGGTCGGCAAGAAAAGGGCTGGTGTGCACTGGTATCAGAACTCGGTTTGATCTACTATAACCTCCCCAGCCGAACTACGTCACGGTCCATTGATAGATTTTTTTCTGCTGTACGAGTGGGGGCGAGGGGGGGGGGGGGGGGCGAGTTATGGCTATGTTGTTTACTTTCTGGCTGTCTTGCATTAACGTTTTTCTTGAAAAAAAAAAATGCCTGTGACATAGGTTGCAGTACTCTCTAGAGTGGTTGTGGGTTGGACTTAGTTTGTAAATATTTTTGCAGTGTTAAATGCGTGCTTAAATATACAACACGCGATATGAACGCATTGCCGAACACCCCTCTAGCAGTGTGCGAAGGTCGGGTGACTGGAGGTCAGATGACTGGAGTGAGCTGGTGTGAAACGTGGAGAGATTATCGTGGATCATACCCAGAACGCCCATGCTATTGACCTCTGTTGAGAAAAGTTTGTTAAAGTTGGTGGGAGGGAAAGGGGTTGCGAGGGCGGGGATAGTGTGTATAGTTAACGTTTAGTCCAGAGGTTCACAAATGATGGTTGCGAGGGCGGGGATAGTGTGTATAGTTAATTAACGTTTAGTCCAGAGGTTCCCAAATGATGGTTGCGAGGGCAGTGATAGTGTGTATAGTTAACGTTTAGTCCAGAGGTTCACAAATGATGGTTGCGAATCTCCGCGTGTTTCGTGATATAATTTACAAACGTTTTTACAACCTACAGTCCTCTCTTCAATCGATTCTTCTGCCTCTGTCTTTCTGGTCGGAAGTAAGCGGCTAGCCGCTACACCACTGGGGCTCCAATGTATCCTGTGCGTCTTCATTAATGAAGACTGGCTAAGAAATAGGAGAAGGAGGAGGTGGAAGCTAATAATAATAATAATAATAATGATAATAATAATAATAATAACAACAACAACAACAACAACAACAACAACAACAACAACAACAACAACAACAACAACAACAACAACAACAGCAACAACAACAACCAGAAAAAAAGAAAAAGAAAAAGAAGAAGAAGCAGAAGAAGGGTTTACTAAAAAAGAAAAAGAATCAGAAGCGGAAGAAAGGCTTACTTAATGCCCAATCATCTGACCAAATAGTATTGTTGACTCTAGATAATAATTTTGGCTTCCTAAAAGCATCGTCACTAGATAATTGTTTTTTCCTGGGTACAGGGATGTCGACCGAACAATACAAAATTATTTATGTAGGTTTTAAAGTCTACAAACAAGCCGTAGACAGTGTTCAACATTAGCAGATAATTACTTGCCCTCAAGATATAGGACTAGATATAAAAAATACCAGACATATATAACTAGGGACTAGTAGTCAATTTCAGTAAAATAATTACCATTCCGCACAGAGATTAAAAAGAACAATTCTGCAGAGATGTGTTCTGCTCCAAGCCTTTTCTTCAAATTTACTAACCTATTTCTCTGCAAAGCCTGCAGATGCTACAGGCCATATTTATATAGTATCTATTCGTTTATTAAAGCCGCGTCCGTGGTCCAGGCGTTGCGAGTCCGACTCGTAATTCAAACGTACCGCGATCAAAACCCACTGCTGGCTGCTTGGATTTGTATCATGGTGTAGGGCGTCGCAAGTCTACCCAGCCTAAAATGGGTATCAGGATGGCTGTCCTGGGGAAGTAAAGACGGCCGATGTAATGCTGACCACATTACCCACCTAGTGCCGATGGTCTGAAAAAAATATGGGCGCTCTTCCTATATTCCCGATGCGCATTAATGCGGGAAAAGGGATCTTTACTTACTTTATTCGTTTATGGGACTCAATATTTAAGTTACGTAAGAGAAATGTCGATTGCCACCGGAGTTACATGTTATCCATTATCAGCCTCGAGATTACATGACCTCCACAATAAGCTTCTTCTATTACGTACATCACAAATCCGTATTCGTCCAAGCCCTAGTAAAAGTAATGTAAAGGTCCTTTTACCAGGCCTTTAGGCGTATAGGGCATACACGGCTAGACCTATATTTTTTATAAATCAGTCGGCACAAGATGAGTGATGTGGTCAGCATCATGCCGGCCGCCTTTACTTCCTGGGACTGCATCCAGTACCCACTCAAAGTTAGGTCGACCTGGGAGTCAAAGTCATTTACAAAAATGTCCGGCTCCGCCAGGGAGCGAACCCACGACTTTCCGATCCGCACGCGAGCTTCTATCCGCTATGCCACGGCGACTCCCGTCCAATCCCTAGAGGTCGGTTTATTAGGAAGTTGTTTAAAATGACAAATTATTCTTGAACTTCGTGCAGATTTTGGCTACGTTAAAGAAAGTTCAAGATTCTGCCATCTTGCAATGGCAGAAATGTTGAATTTAGGACACCACTTTTGACAATAATTCTTGCACCTAAAAGGACATAACATGTCAAACAATCACACACTTTCTCATTTTTAATTTCGTTCGGCAATTGTGAAAGTCGTCCACCTTCTGTCTTTATGTTTTGTGATTTGACAACGTCCTCTAGGGCTTTTGTGAAGCAGTGATTGAGTTTTCGGTAGTTTTTCTCATATAACTCACGACCACTTGGTGGTGGTAAACTGATGTATAACAAGCTGGAAGCTGGAAACCAGCGGACAGTGCCGAGGCACAAATAGATCAATACGGTCTGAGGAGAATGGCACTGGAGTTTCAATGGGATCTGGCCGAAGCTTGAAACTCAGAGGAAAGGCGGGACGGATATAACATCAGACAGTTACTGGTACCATCAGAATTTTAACTCTTCGCTTGCTGCTGAAGATGGGGATGGAGCGCTCATCGGGGTGTCCCGAGTGATGTGATGTCGATTCCTAATTCAATATTCTCTTTTAGGGATTAGGGACACTTCCCCCCACATGGGCACGGTCTAGATGTACATTTTATAGACCAATCGGCACTTGGTGGGTGATGTAGTCATATCATACCGGCCGCCTTTATTTCTCAGGACTTTACCTGGTACACTTTAAGGGTGGTCGACCTGGGAGTTAAAGCCATTATTTTTTTTAAATCTGGCTTCGTCTGGGCTTGAACCCATTACTTTCCTGTCCGCAGGCAAGCGTCTAGCCGCTACAACACAGTGGTTCGCCCATAGGGATACTTAAAATGAATAATGACTTTAGTTGTGTGGTGTCCTCCGATATCATGATAGAAGTAACAAACACTTATATCTTCACTTGTGTCCTCTGATATGATAAAGTAATTAAAAAAAAATAGTAATTTTAGTTGTGAGCTCCGTCGTAGTGAAAGTAAAGAACACTAAAATCTTCAGGTGTATCTCTGTGATAGTGATAAAGTAACAACAACAAAATCATTAGTTGTGTCTCTGTAACAGTGACAATGTAACAAAACGTAGTATCTTCAGTTATGTATCTGTAATAGTGATAAAAAAGTAACAAAACATAATATCTTCAGTTGTGTTTCTGTAATAGTGATATAGTAACAAAACATAATATCTTCACTTGAGTCTCTGTAACAGTGACAAAGTAACAAAACATAATATCTTCAGTTGTTTTTCTGTAATAGTGGCAAAGTAACAAAACATAATATCTTCAGTTGTTTCTCTGTAATAGTGGCAAAGTAACAAAACATAATATCTTCAGTTGTGTTTCTGTAATTGTGATAGATTAACAAAACATAATATCTTCAGTTGTGTTTATGTAATAGTGATATAGTAACAAAACATAATATCTTTAGTTGTATTTCTGTAATAGTGATATAGTAACAAAACATAATATCTTCACTTGAGTCTCTGTAACAGTGACAAAGTAACAAAACATAATATCTTCAGTTGTTTTTCTGTAATAGTGGCAAAGTAACAAAACATAATATCTTCAGTTGTTTCTCTGTAATAGTGGCAAAGTAACAAAACATAATATCTTCAGTTGTGTTTCTGTAATTGTGATAGATTAACAAAACATAATATCTTCAGTTGTGTTTATGTAATAGTGATATAGTAACAAAACATAATATCTTTAGTTGTATTTCTGTAATAGTGATATAGTAACAAAACATAATATCTTTAGTTGTATTTCTGTAATAGTGATATAGTAACAAAACATAATATCTTTAGTTGTATTTCTGTAATAGTGATATAGTAACAAAACATAATATCTTTAGTTGTATTTCTGTAATAGTGATATAGTAACAAAACATAATATCTTCACTTGAGTCTCTGTAACAGTGACAAAGTAACAAAAAAAATAATTTCTTCAGTTGTTTTTCTGTAATAGTGACAAAGTAACATAACGTAACATCTTCAGTTGTGTTTCTGTTTTAGTAATAGAAGTACGATTTCTATCTTCAGTTTTATCCCGTTTTAGTGATAAAAGTAACAAAATATAATTCCTGCAGTTGTGATTCTGTTATGGTGATAGAGGTAGCGAATAATATGTTATGTCTCTGTTATAATGAAAGAAGTACCCAGTCTTATCTTCAAATGTGTTTTTCGTTCTTTGATAGAAGTAATGAATTATAGCTTTACTATAGTTGCGCAAGCAAGGAATCATATCTTCCGTTGTGCTTTGCTGTAATGATTAAATTAAAAATCATAATTCTGTTGTTCCTCTGTTATAGTAATAGAAACATCGACAGATTTGGAAGCACTGACTGATGTCTCGACTAGTTTTTCTGTTAAAGTGATGGGGGCAATCGTTGATGACTTCAGTAGTTCGTTTGTTTTAATTATAGCAACAGAGTGCCTTGCAACAATGGGGAGGGGAGGAAGAGAGGAAGACAGAAGGAGAAAGGGAGAAGAAGACACACACACACACACACACAGAGAGAGAGAATGAGAGAGAGAGAGAGAGAGAGAGAGAGAGAGAGAGAGAGAGAGAGAGAGAAAGAAGGAAGGAGATTAAGAAACCAGAAGGTGGGCTATTTGAATTCATAGCATGAAAAAACATCTCTAAAAAACGCCAAATAGATTGGCAATAGAAGGATCATACTCCCGTCTACGGGAATGGCTAGTGCCACCTGGCATAGAATGGGATAAGATGATTATGACTGGCAAAAGCAGATTTTTGAGAATAATGTCAAAAAGACGAAGAAACAACCGAGGTTGGAGAGAAAGTCAATAATAATAATAATAATAATAATAATAATAATAATAATAATAATAATAATAAGAAGAAGAAGAAGAAGAAGAAAAAGAAGAAGAAGAAGAAGAAGAAGAGAAAAGGAAGAAGAAGAAGAAGAAAAAAGAGAAGAAGAAGAAGAAGAAGAAGAAGAAGAAGAGGAAGAAGAAAAAAAGAAGAAGAAAAGAAGAAGAAGAAGAAGAAGAAGAAGAAAAAAAGAAGAAGAAGAAGAAGAAGAAGAAGAAGAAGAAGAAGAAGAAGAAGAAGAAGAAGAAGAAGAAGAAGAAGAAGAAGAAGAAGAAGAAGAAAAAGAAGAAAAAGAAGAAAAAAGAAGAAAAAAGAAGAAGAAGAAGAATAAGAAGAAGAAAAAGAAGAAAAAGAAGAAGAAGAAAAAGAAGAAAAAGAAGAAAAAAGAAGAAAAAAGAAGAAAAAAGAAGAAGAATAAGAAGAATAAGAAGAAGAAATCGATGTATCGTCTAAAACTTAGTCTGACTAGAAAAAGTCGACATGTTTGTGACCCACCCAGTTGTAACACTTACGGATTCTATCCCCAGGTGTTACTTTAACTGTATTTGGACCTCTGTTTGCCGTAAAACTACTGGACGTAAATTTGTCTAGAAAAACCACACAAAGCCAGGGGCTGTTGAGGTTGCTTCTGCAACGTCCTGTAAAGGATACGCAACAACCTGTTTGCCGTATAACGTTATTAATGTAACTCACTAGGCAGAAGCATTTATTAGTTATATTAACAAGTTAAAAAAGGGGAGAGGATCACGAATACAAGTGTTAGCTGGAAAATGGGGACAAGACAATGGTGCCCGAATCAGCGGCGGCTTGCAGCTGAAATTAGACAGGAAGGGAGGTGGGGGGTGGGGGGGGGGGGGGGGGAGAGGGGAGGGTGGGTGTACGGCGGAGTGAATTCTTCTTCTTCGGTGCCTAATTCCCCGTGGATGCCAGGACCTCAACCAACTCACACCAAGTCGCTCTAACCTTCGCTATCGCATGCAGCTGTCCCTTTGTCCTCCCGATCTTGTTAATTTTACTCTCGAGCTCCCTTCTCCAGGGGGTGGGGGTCTTTCTTTATTTCTATGCCTTTTTGGGTTCCAATACAAAAACATCTTAGGAGTGAGTTAGCTTCATAGAATTTGTTTTTGTAATTGTGGTAACAATGTGGAAAACGAAACAAATGTAAAAAGACAATGTACATAAAACCCTTAACTACCTTGTTTTTTTGTTTTTTTTCAACAAACCCCACCCACCACCCACCAAAAACCCCACAATTTGTGATCACTTTCTAGACAATAAGGATTCTTTTAAAGTCAACCTTTGGATTATTAATCTCATCGTCCAAAATATAAGATCATGCGCACTTGATCATCCTGAACAAGAAAAGATTTAGTTGTCTTCTGAAACTCACTTGCCCAAACATTAAATTCAGTCATTGACTAAACTTTGCATATCCTTCGATGAAGAATATAAATCTCTAGAATTATCAAGCTATTAAACTGTCGGTAGTGTTTTCGACTTCCTGTTTATGTGAAAAGATTTTCAAAGCCAGGTCATGACTAAAAATCACACGAGAGACCAATTGCATGTTATTGCAGGGGTTCGTCTGTAAGAAACATCGCTCCAGCCACACATGCAAGATTTTTATAAAAGCTAGAGGGGCGCGTAGTCTCGAGGCATGGTGTCAGCCTCGACTGCTAGAGTTTTTGGGTTCAATTCCCGGTAAGGGCTAAGATTTTATCACGTGGACTTGGACTTCTAGTAATTCCCCCTGGTCTCTGGGTAGTGAGATCGAATTCCCATGTGCATTGTTGCGCACGTAAAAAATCCCTTAGCAGTTGGAAGTCGAAAAGAGTAGCATAGCGGCGCTGCCCGGGCAAAATTTTGAGTTTAAAATATACCCAAAATTGTTCCGGATCCTCGCGGGTGCTACAGAGCCTGTGCACTGTGCTGAGCTTCTTCGGACTATTCTTAAGCTAGTAGAAGAACGGAGCACTTATGGGTTACCACTCGTGTACCACGATGTTGATCCGTTGTTTAAACCTTCTTGTTCAAACCTTTGGTAAAATCTAAGCAGCATGAAATATCGCATTAGCTGAAATCTGCAATGTTATGATATGGAGTTTAACAAATAATCTAATCTGCGTATGTGGGCAGAACTGATCGACGACTGGAACAACGGGTTGCTGAACATATTCCACTATGGGTGGTAAAAGCAATGCAGAACACTAACACCTCAGCAACAACGAATCAGGTGACTTGTCGAAATAATCCATCATCAACAACTGTGTGCCATATTCTAAATTCCGGGCACATCAATAACAGGGATGATGCATTCCGAATTATTTACAATTCCGCCAACCGTAGATTACTTCGATACGCGGAAGCTTCTGCGATTGGCAGATTGAAACCGGATCTATGTAGGCAAAAAGAAATGGTCGTTTCCCTACGCTTACCTTGGTGCAACAGTAAGAAAGGTACTCGAATTTGTGTTTCAGTTTCTAGGATTCAGCTATTTGCTTCATTTTAATTAATTGTTACTGTAGTATGCACCTGACAAGATACAGCGAAATATGCCAGGCAATAAATTGTGTAGTCTATTGTTTGTGTCTTCTTTGTTCAAATAATCTACTGTCTACATTTGTTTTTTCTCTTTCTGCATTTGCTTAGCTGGAGATTCGCACCGAAACAGGTTTCCCTGATTTGGTGGGCCGCGGTGTTAACTGGTTGATGGGCACTGCTGTAAAGGATAAGCAACTAGTTAATAGATCCTAGATGCTTTTGATAGGGTCCACATAAAAAGATAATTACATGCCTTTAATAGAAGTTTGGAAGAACAGAACACCCGACATATTAGCAACGTATAGCTGGGGACAAGTTTTCATTTTGTCAGTCACATACTTCATATGCCCCAGAAACCTCGTACTCATTCCTTGAAGAAAACATCAGAACTAGAGATAGTTCCGACTCGCTTCTAAGGGGCCCACACAACACTACTGGTGGGCACCTACTCCTGTGCTGTGGAGTCAGGGTACAGGCTATTAGGGTAAAAAACTGTTGCCCAAACATTACGGACACTCAGCATACTACAGCAGACGCTGAAGGAGTTTTCATTAAAAAAAAAAAAAATCTTCAACAAAGTTTGGAGAAACACATCTCAGATTGCTGTTCGCCCAGCTCACGGCAAGCTCCAGATATAAGGCCACACAGCTCAAACGGGAATTCCTGTTTTTGTGAGGCTTGCGTGGCCGGTGGATGGTAACAACTGCTATCGAGTAGATTTATACATAAATTGGGTACTTAATTTATAACTTACCCCTGACGTCACGACAACGTCACGGGAGACATTCCCAATAAATTCTAGGGTGTTCAGGTTGTAGTTTCTCGCGATTTATCTACAGCCACGTTTAGGGTTCGGGTTAGGGTTAGGGTTAGGGTTAGCATTAGAAGACACTACATTAACACTCAAAAAAAAAAAAGCACCACACAACAGCACACTTCCATCCCTTGAAATAATGGACTGTCAGGTCAGCTGTGGATTTCCCACGGGGATTTCGTGTTTGGGGTACGTTATAAATTAAGAACAATAAATTGAACTACAGTTTTATTAATTTGCAGCATGTGTTATTAAAAGAATCATTAGTTTGAAGATAAATAAATGGGCTATTAGAAAATATTTATCTTCAAACAGATAATTCATTCAATAACACATGTTGCAAATTAATTAAACTGTAGCTAAATTTGTGTATTAATCTACTCGGTAACAATTGTTACCACCCACCGGCCACGCCAGCTTCACAAAAACGGGAACTCCCATTTAAGCTGTACGGCCTTATTTCTGGAGCTGGCCGTGACCCAGCTCTTGATATTACTCTCCCACACGTAATTCGTTAATGTATTTAAGTATTAATTCACGAATTTACGAGGACATTACCTCCATCCACAGATTATCCAGCCTACACTGACATCCATGGCGTGCGCTGCCAGAGATTGCAAGGACAACACGCGACAGCTGGTCTGTTTGTACGACAACAGAGAAGATCGGGAAGCCAGGAATCCCTTGAGCTCCTTCACTTCCGGCAGCCGTCGGAACCGGCGCACAAACAAACGGAAGCAGAATGTATAACACTAACACACGGTGTCTACTATTGTTTCTAGATTACAAAGGATGCTATATTAGAAGAGGTCATCCATTCGACATCTTCTAGCTTTGAAGAGAAGTATTTGTTTTCCCCATCCATTTTAACTGATACATTGTTAATAAATGTGCATTGGCCAATCGACACAAGATGGCAGCGTTATCGTATTCACAACGGAAAGGTCGACTTTTGTAAACCAGTTATGTTGAAATAATCTTAGAAACGGTTGACTTTTTAACAAATAGCAGTATCTTCTTCTTCTTCTTTCGTTCGCCTGATATAAGTTGTTTATATCTGCAATTTTGTCTCCTGTATACATTTCACTGTTGTTGTTTAGTGGTCCATAGAGTTTACGTTCCACTGTTGTTCTTTCTGGCCAAAAGGTTTGCCTTAATGTGTCAAATTCGCTGCAGTCCTGGAGTACATGCTCTGCTGTCTGGGGCACCTTTCCACAGGTGCACATGGCTGATACGCCTATCTTGAATTTTGTGTACATGTCGTAACGTAATCGGTTGTGCCCTGTTCTGAGGCGGAGGGTAATGACTTATTCTGATCTGTCCAAAATAAAATAGTCGTCTTGTGCTGGGGCTAGTGGTTTCCTGATTGATTTAATGATTCTTTTCTTTTGGTGGTATGTGACTGGTACATCCGGCTGCACTTTTGTCGCACCTTCTCCTGCCAGTTGATCAGCTTTCTCATTTCCAGGCACTCCACAATAAGATGGTGTCCACTGCATTACAACTCTTTGCTGAAGGCAGTGTGTCAGCAGTGTTTGCAATTCTGGTAGTTTCCTAGACTGGAGTGCTTCTAGTACTGATTTTGCATCTGTCAGTATTACTACATACTGGGAGCCAAGATTGGTATTTAGCAGTCTCTATGATGCTATCTTGATAGCCTGAGTTTCTGCATCATAGTTATGGCAGTATAAACTTTGCTGGCTTGTAACCAATCAGAGCAACTGTCATTATTGTTTTTACCAATTTATTAGCGAGTGGGGAGAGGGGGGGGGGGGGGGTTAAATAAAAAAGGAGCGTGCGGGGCGGGCACTTTAAGTTTGTGGATTTCATACTGCATAGATAGTACATTCGCTACGAACTGTGCAGTTCAGGATTTTTAGCTTTGGTAAATGAAAAAAATACTTTTGTTTGTGTTTGAATAAGCACTCCCCACCCTCCCCGAAATACCCGGGGTATGGATGGTTATACGCGCTTTGCTTATCTTCAAAAACACTGACTGGCCTTGATATTTATCAATGTGTTTGTCGATAACTCGGGCTTTAAATACAAAGTTTGCTCGGCTCTCTAGCGTAGTTGGCTAAACCGGATTGCGCGGTGACCGGGTGACGAACTCCTTGTGGTCCGGGTTCACTCCCGGGGGTAGGCAGAATAGCCACATTTCTCCCAGATTAACGGTATTTACAATTGAATCAAGGCCGAAAGGTTGCGATATCCATAATACCGAGCCTAACGGTTGACAACTCATGGCTTCTGGATACTAAAACAAACAAACAAATAAACATATACAAAGTTTAAAAAAGCTCGATTGGGGGGGGGGGAACGGGGGGAGGGGAGGAGAGAGAGGGGGGGGGAAGGGGTTAAATAAAAGACCTGGGTTTTATTTTGATTGTTAGAAAATACAGACAATTTTTTTTTTTAAAGTCGTTGTGTCACAGTAAACATACCAATAGATACTTCATCTCCCTCGGTCAAGATAAGCTCATCATTGTACAGCAGGTCTTTTGTAGAACGTCGCTCTTAGTCTGTTTATAAGAAAATGGGTCTCTTGTCCGCTTCCCCGGCTTCTGCACTTTCCAACCTTCGGTGTCACGTACATCTTGTGCCCATCTTTGAGCTGGTTAACCCCTGCCCCTCTTCTCCTAGTACCTTACCTTCCGCAACTATTCTTTCCACTCCACCGCGGCGCTAGATATGGCTAAAATATTTCAGTTTCAGAGACAAGAAGCTGTTTAATAGCCAGTCCTCTGTTTTTTTTTTTTTTTTTTTTTTTTTTTTTTTTAGACTGAACTCTGTTAATTTTCTATCATCCATGACTTTTTTGGGGTTTAAATTTCTCTCGAAGAAGAAGACTGAACTCTGTTATTTTTCTATCATCTATCAGATTTTCTAAAAACTTCTCTCGAGAAAGACCTAACTCTGTTCTTTTTCTATCAATTATATTTTTTTTTTTAAATCTCTCTCGAGGAAGACTGAACTCCGTTTTTTTGTTCTTCTTCTATCATCCATGACTATTTATTTTTCCCTGGTGGTAGGCTTTGAAGATGTGGTTTTAGAGAAGAATCCGTAGAATTCTTTTGTCTCGAAGACAACCAACATATCACAAACATCAGTTTAGACAGTCATCATTGTTTGGTCACGTTATGAGAAGAAGGAAACTGGCACATGTTACAGTTTGTGCAGACGCATTATTCCCTCACGCCTATCGACAAGGTTCTTGATGATGATAATGCAAACGAACCGTCACCCTTTTTTTAAGGCATCATTTTTTTTTTCAGCGCTGCGGTAACAAGCACGGGTGCTTAGTAACGGCACTTTTTAGATATACATGATCAGTACATTGACTTTATTTTCTAGTGGAAAAACACCCTGTAATCATACAATTATTTATGTGCATTTTAACTACAGACAACCTCACATTATCTTATAAAACTTCGGTGCAAGTAACGTTTTTCACCGCAAACAAACACCGCGTCATCGCGCGAGATGTATTGGCCTTTCATTCATTCTTGGTGACTTTTTTCGATATGCTGGTCTGTGTTACAGGGGTGTCACGTTGTGTTGCATTTGAGGCTCTCAGCTTTCTATATGGCGTCTCGCCAGAAAGCTCAACAAGCATGGTTGACAGATTAACATATCTGGTGCGACGATGTGGAATGTTTGCAGCGGAAAACGTCAGGTATGGCGAATGTTTCCAGCTCCATCTGACAGATTAACATATCTGGTGCGACGATGTGGAATGTTTGCAGCGGAAAACGTCAGGTATGGCGAATGTTTCCAACTCCATCTGACAGATTAACATATCTGGTGCGACGATGTGGAATGTTTGCAGCGGAAAACGTCAGGTATGGCGAATGTTTCCAGCTCCATCTGACAGATTAACATATCTGGTGCGACGATGTGGAATGTTTGCAGCGGAAAACCTCAGGTATGGCGAATGTTTCCAGCTCCATCTGACAGATTAACATATCTGGTGCGATGATGTGGAATGTTTGCAGCGGAAAACGTCAGGTATGGCGAATGTTTCCAGCTCCATCTGACAGATTAACATATCTGGTGCGACGATGTGGAATGTTTGCAGCGGAAAACGTCAGGTATGGCTAATGTTTCCAGCTCCATCTGACAGATTAACATATCTGGTGCGACGATGTGGAATGTTTGCAGCTGAAAACGTCAGGTAAGGCGAATGTTTTCAGCTCCATCTGAAATTTGGTCAATGAAGCTACATGTACAGTTTACTGCTGACAGATTCTGACGTAATGTGGCCTTTCATTCCAAGGAGGGCTTTTCGTTTTGCGTGATGAAGGATTAAAGCATGTTGAAGCACGTCTATCCCGCCTTGGAGGCCGAAATATGAGGCATTATAACCAACCTCTTATGGAAATAGTTCGTAGAAGTACCTTGGAGTGGCTGCTGCATTTGAGGACTAAGTACATATGGGAATGCCCAGTGTGCAGTTACGTCGATTGTGATAACAAAACATTTCTTGATATTTAGGAGAAAGACCACATAGGTCTTATAGCCAGAAATACTGGATATGAAAGCATAGACAAGTTCCAGCAATAAATAACTGATAAAGATATTAATTTTAATTCGATTTAAGGATTTTCCCCTGTGCCCTTTTTAGAAAAAAATAAAATAAACAAGAATAGACACACTGCTTCCCAAACAAGTATGTCGTAAAAGTCGACTAATTGGGAGCTTCCTTCAAAGTCGGAGTCTGTGGCTTAGGCGTTGCCAGGGTGCCGGCTTCGATCTGAGCTGTGGACGGTTTGTCTTGCTCTGGTTTCGACAGTGGTACCGACAGCTGACAGTTCAAAATTAATGGCAAACTAATGAAGGTAAAATTTGCCTAGAAAACCAGAACGGCCAAAAAATGCTGGGGTTGGTTCTGCAACGCCCTGTAAAGGACATGAAACTAACTGTAGCTTCGAAGTCGCAGTGCATCTACCTGAAAGTCAAGGAACCAATATTTTGCAAACAGATAAGCCACATCTGTGAAACGGATGCGCACGGAACACTCAGGTTCTGAAACAGAGGGATGGACAAACAACGAGAATTTGCTGCTTTAGTTCATAGCCAGTAAAGGCGAAGAAGAAGAGCGGCTGCCTGAACAATTAGAGCGCTGGGCTTTCAAGCGGGAGACCCAGGTTCGAATCCTCGGTAAGGCTGGGGATTTTTCTGTCAGGGGCAAAATAAAATCCTACACCTGCACAGTCGTGACGACAGCACTAGCCACTAGCCCCACCCCTGCCTAAACCTTAAAGGTGGTATAATAAAGGAAGTAATTGACAGAAGGCGAAGAAGAAGAAGAAGAAGGAGAAGGATGTAAACGGAGCACTTTTCAAGCTGCAAACATACCCAGTAATGTAGGTGCAGTCTTTTCGCCTGATATTTGATGCTGGAATCACATTTGAGATGACCCATGGACACTAGGCTTATAGGTAATTTGTCAGAAAACGGAAACTGTGATCATCACTAAGAAGACAGAAATACCAAAGTGTGAAGAATAAAAAAGGAAAACACATGCATGGGATACAAACAGAAACTATATAGTGCAATATGATAGAAGAATCGAATTCTTTGTTTTACTATTATCATTGCCATCATGTTGACACTGATCTATGTAGCCAGTGCCTGATATTATTCATTACATTGGAATTTTAGTCGCTTAAACGTTTGTTTTAGTTTTTTTTTAATTCCCCATGTTGTTATTATGTGTGTTGGCAATATCTCCTCGCCCCCCCCCCCCT